TGTCGCGCGCACTGATACGAACAGAGAGAAAATAGGACCAAGTGATAACGACGTGTGACTTTTTCCACTACAATGGTGTTGTACTGCTCACAGGATGCTGCCAGGGGTAAGTCAGTGTGATTGCATGACACTGGTGATGGGGATGCCATACAGATTCATGTCAAAAATCCCGAACTATCCCTTTAAAACAAAATATAACTTAAGATGTCTTAACTCCTTATTCCTGACCTATCTGCTGTATTTGTTGGTCTTGATGAAACTGTTTGCTCACTTATTATCTCCAACAAACCTCTGAAGCCCAAACAGCAATCGTGTATTGCACGCGTACCCCTGGTTGTTTCCCAACCAGGGGTACACGTACCCCTAGTGGTCCGTGAGTGCATTGCAAGGGGAACATGAAAATATTTTATTTCTTGGGCAGTAAAATAAAACAGGGCTGGGATTTGTTCTGCTTTGCGAGGATCCAATTGAAAAATTAAACAAGCTTTTATCAACTTAAAAGTAAGTTTTTCTTATATGTTTGAGTTCATCTTAAGCTGTGATACACATCAAAACCAAGCAGAGAAACAGACTGGATGTAGAGAACAGCCTGGGATCAGCTGAATTTCACACTGAGCTATTGGGGCTTATCAAAGCAGCTCGGGTGTCTTGATGAAAACAGAGTAAAACTTATTAAATTAGTCTGATTTTTGTTTTATATTTTGTTCTCAATTCATCAAATTTAAATCTCACTATAAGGGAGTTACTCAGAGTAGCTCCAGTTTTATAAATACGGTTTATAATATGATTTAATTTTGTATTTATTTTGATTCCTTACTAACTTCCAGGCAATATATTTATTTATTTTTTATTAGACATAAAAAGAATAAAATAATAAGAATTACATCTTCTAATTAAAAGAGCAAGTAAAATAGTCTTTATTTTATAATCAGTTATTGTACGTTCCATTTTTGAGCAGTTGTCAATACTTTTTACAGAGAGGGGTTCTCATGGTAAGACATAATGCCCAAAGGGGTAAACAAGTCAAAAAAGGTTGGGAAACAGTGCTGTATCGGATTTGTACTGACTTTGACTCATACTGTATAAGAGTATGGACTCTAGCAACAACTTTTTAGAAGCAAGTAGTGGCATTGCATTGCAAGTATCACTACTGTATAAAGGGTCATATGGCTGCAGGTTTTTTTGTCTAAGGTCTACAAATATTTCAGCAAGGCATGGTAACTAGACTTAGAGCTCAAACTGACTACTGTGTGTCTTTACAGTTTGTCAAAAGTATTTACATTTTAAACAAACATCCTTAAAACTATTTTGCACAGTGTAAACTGTTGCAAAACACGAGTATTAGCTTCTTTTGTTTGCAAAGGTTACACCCATTGTCCATAATCTTTTTTTAGAAGCACAAACAAGTAGTTTAAGTGTGCATAATCTTAAAAATGATTCTGATATGAACTGTAAAATCCATGCATTTCGCTTCTTGCAACCTTGCATTCTCTTTATCTTGACCATATGAAACAATAACAACAAAATAATATGAGGCCAAGACACGCGTTAAAAAGAATCAATGCAGATAACATGCAGAAGACAGGCAGGCAGAGGTCCTGCATTGTATAATGCTGGCCTCAGACTCAACACTCTGACATACAGGCACAATGCAGTGCCTAAGGGAAGGTTTATTACTGAATTTGTTGAATTTACCCGCTGTGTCCCCCAGCAGTCGCAGGGCCTGGGCCCTGTTGTTATAGGCAGAAGCTCGCTGAGGCAGGATGTGGACTGCCTGGCTGAACAGCTGAAGAGCGGCTTGTAACTCCCCAGCCTCTGCGGCAGAGACACCTCGCATCTCCAGCTCTTTCACTTGCTTCAGCAACTCTGTGTCAAACCCACTGTCTGGCAGGAGGAGATAAACAGGTTGGAAAAAGCATTCACACTCAGCTGACAGGTACCGTGGCAAAGAAAAACACAGAAATGTCACCCAGAACTAAGTTTTGATTACAGCGTCATGGGTTTTTTCACTCTGGAAATGGAAAGTGTTCAAATAAATTCAATATGCTGTGACATGATATGTAGAGACACATCAGCTCAGGCTCACCATCATCAATTAATTCCTCTTCTTGGTTCAAGCCAGGAACATCTCCAAAGGGGGTGGTAGGGTTGAATATAGCCTGGAGAACAGCTCTGTCATGTGCTGAAGCCATCTTCTTGCTGTCTGTGGAGTAGGCAGAGAATTATGGAAAAAAAAGAGGAGAGTAATGACACCTAAATCACTCCAGAACTGGGAATTATTCCTCTCTTAAAGGGTGCTATCACTGCCAACCAATCAGAGAAGGGGGCGGAAGCAGAGGTTGGACTTTGAGATATTCCAGCACATCTGCATTTGGTTAACTCTGTAAAAATGCAGGCTAGAAAGCATGTGGGTCTAATGTGAGCGGAGAATACAGCAGATTGTTCATTATGTTTAGGGCTGTTTTCTCCCCGATTTTGTCATCTTCCATTTCTTAACAACAAAAACAGTTTGTTGGTAAATGCAATTAAAAATTATGTGGAAAATAAATAAGACATAAACTCCTTAGTTTGATTTTACATGAGTGCCAAGAGCTGATCTACAACTTATGGGCAGTTAAAGAGAGGGGAAGAATAAATATGCTGCAAAAAAATATGCTTTGAAAGATTTAAGTTTTGATGATTTTCTTACCACTCTAATTTCTCTAACAAATAAGAATGGGGAGAGCAGATAGGTTTCCAAACAGGCCAAATGCATAGAAATGTTTATTATTTGGATAATAAATAATAAAGAGGACAGAGGAGAAACTCAATTGGTAAGAAGCATACAACTATGTGTTTCTTTTCCAAGTGAAAAAAAATTCAAATGATAGAAGCAACTAAACTTTTGAACTACCATACACTTTTACTACCAATATATCTCGTACAATGGTAACAACAAAGGCCATTTGAACCATGAGCTAATAAAATATATAATAAGCCTCTGCTCCTGTTCCCCGCTATACCACAAAAACTAAACAAAAGGGAAAAAAAACAATGAGCAATGTTAGAAATAAAATAGTTTAACTTTGAATATGGATCTTTATGAGTGCATGACTTTAGGTGATTCTCTTAATATTTGCCAATTATAAAAACAAAACTATCTCTTTAAAAGGAAGGAAGGAAGGAAGCTCTTCAGAGAAATGCTGTGTGTTATTTAAAGTTAAGTAAGGAAAGAAATACACAAAAGTGGATCTATTCACCAGTTGCAGTAGATCACTGCGGCTGTCCTGCAGGTTTTCAATGTTTCTCGGCGTTAGCACAGCTATTTCTGCTGTTAATCAGCAACGGAAATCAGCTGTGCTGAAGCAGGGAAATTTAGCCCTTTTCTCAATATGCACACTTGTGCATTCTCATGAGCTCGTGTGCTTGTGAAACATCATCAGCCTCAGCCCTAGTACTATTCCAATTCACAAGAACACAAGATATTGTTGCCCTTACCCCTCCCTCTTTACCAAGTATGCACCAGAGCAGACTTCCACTGCAGTGGTCGCAGCATCAATGGGAGTGCTTGCAGAACTCAGAGTATTATGTTAAGTTCATTTGAGGCAAAAAGATTATACTTTTAAGAGTCACTATATGGCCCATTTAGAGATTTAGTGTATAATTTAAAAAAAAGTTCCGATGTTGAGAGGACTGTGGCAACCAGCGGACCTTCAAGGCTAACTGCAGACATGCCCGAATAACATTTCTGTTTAATTTAGGGGTATCAGAGCTGAATAAAAAAGATTAACACATATTTCAGAATTTTTATGTTTCATATAAAAACCATTTATTACTTTCCTGCTGTTTTAATAATTTCCCGAACACACCTTTGTGTTAGGCCATCACATAAAATCCCATTATAACATATTAAAGTTTGCGGCTGTTATGTAAAAAAAACTAACAAACAAAAAATACTGCATGTAAAATATTTATGATATAACAACCAGATGTTCAAATTAGAGTTGATTTCTAAGAATATATCAACATATAATAACCATATCAGTATGGCTTTAAGTTGAAAGGATCATGTTGTATTCAATAGAGATTCAAAAGCGTCTTTCAGAAACAAATATAAATCAAATGTCATGTTTTAAAATCATTTAGGATTGATTGGTTATTTTCATAAGTAACATAAAATGTAAGTGAAAATCTTATTCAAGGAGAAGTTTTCTTTTTCACCACTTGAGAGAGCTCTTGCAGTTTCTGTTTGTGCATCTCCTTCTTTTTCCCTTCTCCATTTTACTGCAGATGGTTTGATCTTACAGGACTCCTATTTTCCACAGGGTAATGCAAGTTAAAGAGTGAGGTGAGGCGATGATGTTCATGGTCACTTGGTTGGCAGTAGATTGCCTGCAGAAGCATACTGTGTCCCAATGGCCTCCCCTATAGTCCAAAAGAAGCAAAGTAATCGTGTGAGGATTATCAGTCTCCTATTACAGCAAATGTCACCACATCAGCACCACTCAACCTGATTATGTCAATAAAGAAACTCGTTGGCAGTGTTTACAGGCTCCAGAGGTAGGGCCTGAGGGACTTTAGCTGCCTCAGCTTAAGGCCAAGAAGGTTGATAAGAAATAATCAAAAAAAAAAAAAAAAAGAAGGAAGGAAATAACTAGAAACTGACCCCCAGTGGTAGTGCTGCTGTAAAATACAAGGCAGTAAACACAATCTTTACTTTTCCTTTCAGTAATTACAGGGATGTAATTATATCTGACTAAAACAGCAGTGGATAAATAATGAAGTAGTATTTGGTTAAATGCAAACAGTGCATGACAGGAACATTATTACTCATTAGGTGTTCAGACAGCGGAAAGTGTGTTTCATACCACCGACTTTCTCATTTAAGTTTTCCTAAAACATGCAAGGAGATTTCTGTTACTTCTTTAATATAAATGAACAACAAACCCTGAAGGAAAGGTCATCACCAGCCATTACTGCCTATTTTCATAGATTTTCCTTTTGTCTAGCTTTCCCCTTACCCCATAATGTGTCATAAGCAAACACATAATTCTATATGCCTTTTAGGTGTTTTCCCCCCACTTTCCATAAATCAGATATCAAAGCTTGTGCTTCTATTAATTACTTTAAATGAGTCTGTGTGCTGATACATGGCCTGCTCTTACATGATGACAAAAGGCGTATGCATGCTCAGTGAGAGCACTCGGAGCTCGATTAAAAAGTAATCCTGTCTTCTGAGAGTTGGGGAAGTGAGTGCAGAGTGGATTTAAGTAAACAACCTATCATGGCAATTTTTTAGAAACACGGTGTGCTGCAGAAAACATACAGTTCTAGTTAACAATAACTCCTTGATGTGGAGAAACAAAATATGGAATATATTTGATTTAATTAGCACAGAAATTGATTTCCAGGTATGCATGATTTAAAATGACTCATTTAATTTATGCTTGATTATTCAGTTTGCATAGAAGAAATGTGCTTCAAATGTTTAGTATTTCTATGGCCTACAGATATATTTTATTTCATTAAATGTTAAAGCCAAACATTTGTGTTTTGCTTTTTCACATTCAATCATCCAAGTTGAATGTAAAACAGCTGGTTTTTAGCAGTAACATTTGGGTCAGATGTTTACAGGCTGTTAATTCAGCTTGCGTTAAATCAGCTTAGTTCGACTCATTCCGTTTGAACCCAAAGCATTTTTTTTTTCAGTTTTATTCATTTGAACTTAGTCCAGTTCTTCTAGTTCAACTTTATTTATTTGGGTTCATGGATTCCTCAGTTTTTTTAATAAGGCAAGGCAAGGCAATTTTATTTGTATGGCACAATTCAGTACAAAGACAATGCAAAGTGCTTTACATGATTAAAATATAGGAATATAAAACAGAATCAAAGCCAGTAGGAAAAAAAAATAATAAAAAATGCAGAAACAAGAAAGAACCGTAAAAACTGTTGGACTAAAGAAAATAAAAAAGTTGAACTAATGATGTTTCAGTTGAACTTTTTAATATTAACTTTATCCGTACAGGATCACAAGGAGATGGGAACTGTTGTCTATCCCCAATGTCATTTTGGTGAATAGTCAGTTTATACCAAAGGCAGGGTCACAGTAATCACATATTTAACTACATTCAGTTCTGTGCATTTTAGTTTATTTTAAGAATTCTCAACTAAACTCACTTTAACTTGGGTTAACTGTGTTTAGTTTGTGTAGTTCAATTCAACTTAGTTGATTTAAATTTGATTTAAATCCACCTTAGCTGAAGTTCCGTATAATTTAATAAGCCAGAAGAAGATTTACAGAGGTCTAGAAGAACCTGACACTGTAATACTCCAGCTTAAAATGATGGGTAATAAGTTCTTCTTGTAATCTTGCTGATACCCAGATGAGGAGCTAGTCTGCAGAAGCATTCAGCTCCATTTACTTCTACTGTAACACACACTCCAGTAGCCACTTACCACTCAACAGACATCGTAACGAAAATGGCAACTTTTGATTCTGACAATAAACTTTAGGTCACTTAAGCCTAATAGTCAATATTGTTTTGTATGCTATTTACATTTACGAGGAGCTTCAGCGGCAGATATCATCGCAGATATCTGATTTTTAGTCCCAACACTGCACAGATAATGGAGTCTGATCTTAAATGTCAGCTAAACCCATTTGCAAAGGGACAGATAAAACCTTTCAATAAACCAAACATCAACTGCCACATATCTGACTCAATAACCATTTAAAACAACTATTTTCATTCATTTCAGAGTGAACTATTCACATACATGTATATTAAACTGCACCTACAATATTCACCACTGTTCGACACAATTTCCCTTTTTCCTCTGAGCAGGGAGCAGCCGGATTTCTTGGACTCAATGAATCACGGGTTATCCAAGGCTACGGGTACACCTGACCCATCCTTCAAAACGGGCAAAAAGAAGGCTGCATTTGTCGGCCAAATAACGAGGAGTCTTCCAATCTGAATACCATGCTATGATGTAATTATCCATCAAATCTGGCCTTTGGCGGATGCAGCCACTAGATTTGAAACACCAACTGTCTTGGGGGAGGAGCCTTTGCCGCAGTTAGATTTGTTTGAGTCAACTGCATCCTCCCGACCCAATGGCATTGTTAAATATCAGCATGAACATTGGTCCTCAATGTCCAAAATTTACATCATGGTTTATGGCCCAACAAAAGAACATCTAAACTACACTAAACTAAACCGTTAAACTTTAACCATTCAACTCAACTACACTCAGTCTGATTCTGGTAGAATGAAATAGGTCTGATAGATTAC